ACTGTATTGCTAATTTGCATGTATCCGACAAAGATAGAGGATGTTTCCATGCTGAATCATCGAGCATATTTGAAAGATGAATAGTTAGGTTATGTTAAAGCAGGTTAGGTTGTTTTCGAATAATACTTCGGTCTTTGGTGTTCCTTACTTAAGATATTCTACTCATAACTGCTTTTTTTCAAAACAATAATTCCCCACTATAATTATTATTAAGGTATCACTCAAAACCATGAAATAAAATGAAAATAAGAATAATCAGTGAAATAACCTAACTTCGCAAAATCATAATATAAATTTGTTGTCATTATGTTCCTGACATCGTGATTTTATCATCGACGTACGTCCATTGATTATTTCAGTACAATTTATGATAGACATAATAGTCATCTTTCGTGATTTTGACTATAAGTTACTATAGGCAGTCTATACAGGGGTCCAACGTTTAAGATCCCCGCAACGTCAAGGTCAAGGAGTTTGAGCTCAGAGCCCATACTCAACTTCACTAGAAGGGTGGAAATTGAACTTGCCGAAATAACTCTACTTCATTCATTAATTGAACCTTAACATTGAAACTGAACGATATTGGTGTTTTGAGCGCGGAAACTGTCTCGAACGTGAAGTCTACTTTTGAACACGGTCTCCGCCTCCATATCCTAGAATTGGGTATTTAAGAATTTAATCGCATATGTGGCCCACTTGGATCTCAAACAAAAAAAAGTGCGTGCAAAGACTGTACGTGATCGCTGTTAAAAATCGTTTAAAATTCAGGGAGAAAATAGCTACCGTCTAGCTAGGTGTGTTGCGATCTAGATGCATTGCATTTGCGCTCGCTTGGCTTGGAAATCCTTTCACGTTTTTTCGATTCGCGTGAAGAATTTAAAACTGACAAATGATCGCTTTTTAATTTATGAATTTTCATTAGTTATGCTTATTCTTGTAATATGAACGAACAAATTTTCCTTTTTTTAATTGAATTTATTATGAAAACGATCTCCCGAGGAGAGTTACTCACATGTATCAAAATTATACGATTCTAGAAGATATGAATTAGTTCTGAGTTTGTTGTTGATCTTGAACAGTGAACAGTGAAAAATGAGTTTGACCGAATTTCAATATTTTGCCTGCTAAAAGTACATTTTGAAATTTTAACCTTTATCTATCTAACTCGTACGTACAATTTCGCGAAAAAGCTGTAGCGTAATAAGTTGTACAAAATGTAAATTTCTAAGCAAGTTCTAAGTCCCTGTTTTAAAAATGTGACATTGACAGTTTGACAATGAAACGTATGGTCACGATTTATCGGTATCTGGAATAAAGATCAAATATACTGGATGTTTTTTTTCGGTGATAAATACAAAGGATATACAGTGTCTTCTCTTTTTCCGCCCTACTGTCAGTACCGACCGCCCAGCAATATGGCAACCCAGCACGGCGAATACACGCATCATCGCTCGGTTAGCTCAGTTATCCCTCAACATTTGAAGTAGACTGACGTACACTGGTTGAGTATAGTAGTAACCTTGGGTGAACATTTTATCAAAATCGGAGCGGGACTTCTCAAGCAGTGTTGCCGAACCAAAAAATACGCAATCGGTACATAGTGTCGTTGAAATTCGGCAGATTTGAGGTCAAAATCGCTAAAAGGAAACAATCAGGGCCCGTCGCAAGATCAGCGGTAGATCAACATCCTTTGCGTCATGCAGCGTCGTCCATGAAAAAAGTATATTTTTGTATTCCCTTAAAAAATATTATCTCCTTTATTACAACATGCATAAAGGTTAAACTTCTTTGCAGACATCCTGAAAACTCCTTTCCCCATTTCGTACATAATTAAAGGCCACCCAATGCCACGTCCCTCGTGTACCCTACTGCTTAAATGTACGCATATGTACCTATGTGTATGATTGATGATATGCGGAACAAAAACTGCATAGACTACATTTTAGCCTTATTTTTCTGGAAATATCTGATTTATTCTGAAAAATCGTGGTAAATGAGGACGTCTTCGGTATTTCGGTGAGTAAGGTCTCATTTCAGTAGAAATACCGAAACATCGGTAGGTTCGGCAACACTGTTCCCAGGATTGACGGACAGACAGACCGACGGAATTGAGTGACATGGTTTTTGTGATGTACATGTCACATAACATCAAAAAAATATAAATCTGGTTCGTTTTCAAAATGTTTCGCGATTACAATACTAACTCTCCAGCGTAGTAACTAAAATAGATGTTTGATACCTTAAAAACGCCATTACGTCTAGCACCACCTTTTGCATATTGTGAAATGACAGATATTAGTTCTGGAGTCTTCCCAAGAACGAGACTTTTTGGACTTAATTCGCATGGGATAGCAAATAAGCTCTCCTAATTACGTTTTCTCGATGGAACCGTTAATCTATTATTCATCGTTATGCTAGACTTCTTTCAAGGTCGAATTCTGTCTACCAAAGCACTCAACAAATTGACATCTCGTAGGCAGTTACATACGCAGTGATTAGCATACACCTAATGATTTAAATACATTTCGCTGACGGTGAAAAATGAAAGGAAATGCAAATCGCTAGACAGGAATGAATTGCAAATCTCAGCAAATAAGATCAATTTGGATATCATTATGGCCGATAAGAAGTTTGGCTGTTGATTACTAAGAGCCGTATCGTCAGTCGTTCTTGATTATCATAGTCTTTTCTCTCCTTCAGAAGGGCTGGGGTATTTTTAGATTTCTACTGTTCCATGTCAGCGTCAGCGCTCTCCTATTGTGATGTTTTCTTTTTGAATCTTGAGACATTTCAGGCTAGCCTACAGAAGGTTTGTAGGAGAGAGAAAGAATTTCAAAATGAGACTAGAATCATGCGTAGATTCCGAAAATTGAATAATACACAGGGTGTTCTATTTAAAATGAGCAAGTTGGCATCTACTTCCGGTACAACCGGAAGTGCTACCATTTTGAAAATATTTCAGTCGAATTGTTCACATCAATTATACCATAACCTCAAACTTTCATAGTCCAACTTTAACTGTATATGTTTACCATTAAGCTCCTTGTATTATAACCATCCGATTTGAATACGCACTGACTGGCACAGGCATGACGTAAAAGCAAAAGTTTACCTTTACAGACACATAAACAAAGTACAGTCTGTTTATTGCAAGCCCTAGATGGTCTAAATGCGTACAAAGAAGGAGTTTCCACGCAGCAAACATGGTAGTTGACGCAGAGGAAAACAATCGACGGTGAGGAATTTTGCAGTTTCCGGTGGCCGCGGCCGCCTTGATGCTGGTTGAAATATAAAATGTATCGCGGATTCCGGCGCGCTTAGCAGTCCTTGGAAGAGACAAAGAAAGTGCCGTTGGTGAGCAAAGTATCAGTGAAATTAAGAGAGAATTTCCTTCTAGGGAAAACGAGCTTTACTATGTCGATTTTTGGATGAATTTCTTTGAAATGTATAGCCTAGTCGTCACTGTGAGATTACCTTATTGGCCTTTGGAAACGATTTTTGAAAGAAATCTCTTCAACAAGATGTTTAAGTTCGACTAAGGATCATTAAAGAAAGTGTTTGTTATGTTATGTACGAGTATATCCTATTTCTTTCTTATTATATGGAGTAGATGGTATGCGATAGAAGTTGCGCATACTACTGTTTTTTTCCAATAAAGTGTGTCATCTATTTTTAAGTGGTAGCTATTTTTATATTTAGGTGCTTATTGTTTACTTATTTCGATGAAATAACTGAATTTCTAAGTTTAATGAGCTTTTGGGGACTTCACTTTGGTATTTACCTCATTGCCTTATCTACAAGTTCAATCTTATGAGTCATGATCTTCACGAAACCCTTAAAGGGAAACCTAAGCTTGACGTGTTAGGAATATAACTTTTATTTGTAGTTTTTGAAAATCAGAAAACTGAATTCCGAAATTTCAAATTCTTTTAAGATGCTGAGTGTTTCATACCTAAAGCTCATTCCTTTAATTGATTCCCGTTTACTTCAAACAAAAGCTTTTGAGAACGGACGTCTTGGATAGTGTTTTATATATTTGAGAGCCATTTTAAACTTTATTAACAGAGCTATAATCCTAAAGATGGGTCGCTAGTTAGTCAGCCAGCTATTTTTAACCAGATAGTTGACAACTGCGATATTTGATCGCCCATCTGAATAGAGCTTTATTTGAAAAGAATTTATTCCTACTGGGGATGAATATTTCGACAATTTTTAAGTACTTTTAAGGCTTCGAGAACCAAGTTTCCTACTTTTTTGGGATCATAGCTAGGATTTGTTATATCTAAAAGCAATTTTATTTATTTACAAATAGCTACCAAAGTTAGCTAGAAGCTAATTATAGATAAAACCACCTGACAACTTTGATACTTTTTTGAACGGTTTTTCCACAAGTTCCTTTTGCATACGAATGTTTCAAAGAAAATTGCGCTGACTAGTTTTTGAGATACTGATTTTAATCACAGTCACAAAAAATAACTATCAGAGCTGAAAGTCAGCTAGCTTTTTTGATAGAGGCTATATTGAATTTGAGCGTTTATCCTCCAGGTGCCTTTATGATACCTGGGACTCAATAAGCGTTACGAAACCCGATTTCTGAAAGGAACCTTTCTGGTTGGTAATCTAAGTTTAACTCTGTTAATGAATGTGATTTTGTTAAAGATCCATTGATTACTTTCATTGACAAAAGCTTTTGCACAAGCACAGTTGCTAGATAATATTTTGTCTCGGCCAGCCATTTTTCTAGCTGAAGTCTACTCTGACATTCAAGTGCCCATCTTACAGGTAGTTCTTGACGTTTGAATACAGGTGGCTTTTTGTGTGAACTTGAGACATGATAATATTTTCCAAACCCTATTTCTGAACGAAACTGTACATCTTTCAATACTCCGTTGACTTCTTTCTTTGTCAAAAGCTTTTACATAAGTTATGTAATCATTAGTCTTAGCCAGCTATTTTTAAATAAGGGCAGAAGACTACACAACGTCAAATATCCATCCTACAGGCAGTTCTTGACCTTTGCGGAGCCCTATTTTCGGTTGGAATCGCCGGTTAGCCTGGTACGGACAAAGAAGAAAGAAAGTACTCACCGGAGCTGTGGCACGCGGAGTGTCTTGACGTTGGTTGTTGGCGAGTGGCTCTCTCGGTTGCAACCGTGCTAGGTACGCGCGACCGTGGGTATTTCGATGGAGCGACTGACCTCCTGAGGAGGCGAGCTATCAGCTTACGCGGGCTCCATACCGGGCGCTCGCGACACACACCCCACCATACCGGGCTAAGAATAGCCGTCGCGACGCTCGAGAAGCGTCCCGCAAGAAGTCCTCAAAATGTTACTTTTTCGTTAAGAAGTGTTTCAAAAAATTAGTAGGGGTACTATAACTAAATTTGTACTGGATTTCCAAGGTTTGCAATACAGCGTCAAGAGGTCAGGACGGAGGTCTTCAAAAGTTGATGATTTTTTTTAAATAAGAAAATGATAATTGGAAAATGCGAATTGGTGGTGGTAGGTTTTTGGTAAAAATGGAGGTTCTGTGAAAATAAATTAATGATGCTAGTCTGCATTTCGCGACACATCCTGGACTTTTAACTAGACTGTTAACTCAGCCTAGGCTCAGCTTAGCCTTAGCCTAGCCTCAGCCTAGCCTCAGCCTAGCCTCAGCCTAGCCTCAGCCTAGCCTCAGCCTAGCCTCAGCCTAGCCTCAGCCTAGCCTCAGTCTAGCCTCAGCCTAGCCTCAGCCTAGCCTCAGCCTAGCCTCAGCCTAGCCTCAGCCTAGCATCAGCCTAGCATCAGCCTATCCTCAGCCTAGATTCAGCCTAGCCTCAGCCTAGCCTCAGCCTAGCCTCAGCCTAGCCTCAGTCTAGCCTCAGCCTAGCCTCAGCCTAGCCTCAGCCTAGCCTCAGCCTAGCCTCAGCCTAGCCTCAGCCTAGCCTCAGCCTAGCCTCAACCTAGCATCGGCCTAGAAAGAAAAACAAGGAGATTTCAGAGAAGCTTAGGAAGGAATATGATTGTTTGAAAAAACACCTAAAATAAGTAATCATCGTTCGCTTTAAAAATATATTTTAATCGTTAGGTAAGAAATTACTGGTTTTAATTGACCTTTTTAACCAAACAAGAAATTGATTTTGGTACAGATTGCAATGAATGATCGTAACACTTAATAGTAAAAAACTATTCCCTCGTACCTTTGCTTGGCTTTTGGTCAAGTCATCTGCAGGCAATTTATACGTAGATAAAGATTAAATCCAGATATCTTGAGGCTTGCACATCATATAATCAACGAACATTATGAAGTCACGTTGTACGTAAAGACAAGTATACAGACAAGAAAAACTAGGATCACTCCTCATCTTTGCATGAGAACGCCTTACAGCCCGTGGTTGTTAAATCTACTAATAATGGGTGATTTATTTGCTAGTATCTTTTTGGCAACACTGTTTTTGACAGATGACGCGTGAATCGTATCTTGTGTCATTGTCAAACTTGTTCAGTTTGGTCTATAATTTAACCATGAATCGACTTACGAACGAACAACGCTTGCAAAATATTGAATTTTACTATCAAAATTCATGCTCGGTTAAAAGAGTGCATCGCCGTCGTTCGCAGCAATTGGGCCTCTGTTACTCCACTACGTGGAAAATTTTGCGACAGGATTTGGGTGTAAAACGTTATAAGATACAGCTGGTGCAAGAACTGAAGCCACACGACCTCTCACAACGTTTCCAATTTGGTGAATGGGCGCTGGCAAAGTTGGAGGAAGATCCACATTTTTATCGAAAAATTGTGTTCAGCGACGAAGCTCATTTCTGGTTGAATGGGTATGTTAACAAGCAAAATTGCCGCATCTGGAGTGAAGACCAGCCAGAAGCATTGCAAGAGCTACCAATGCATCCCGAAAAAATCACTGTTTGGTGTGGATTATGGGCCGGGGGCCGGTGGCATCATCGGGCCGTACTTCTTCAAAGACGACAATGGCCGGAACGTAACTGTGAATGGCGAGCGCTACCGTGCGACGATAACAAACTTTTTTTGCCCAAAATGGAAGAGCTGGACTTGGCTGACATGTGGTTTCAACAAGACGGTGCGACATGCCACACCGCACACGAAACAATGGCGCTATTGAGAGGCGAGTTCGGTGAACAGTTTATCTCACGTTTGGGGCCCGTCAATTGGCCGCCTAGATCGTGTGATTTAACGCCGTTGGACTATTTCTTGTGGGGCCATGTTAAGGCTAAGGTCTACAGGGATAAACCAGCAACGATTGACGCACTGGAAGCCAATATTGAAGCATTTATTCGTGAGATACCGGCCGATATGTAGGAGAGAGTGTGCCAAAATTGGACCTTGCGCATGGGCCATCTAAAGCGGAGCCGCGGCCAACATTTACATGAAATAATCTTTAAACATTAAATTATATCGAACGTTCTATCGACTCATATAAAGATTTAATCGTTTTTTCAAATTTTTTGTGTTTTTTTTTGAAAATCAAATCCTATACTTCTTAAAAAATCACCCGTTATTTCAGTAGAGGTAGAAGATGTGCAAGAAAAGCCAAATAAATATGAGCGAAGGAAACTTTTTTTATCAATAAGGTGTCAGTGGTTGGCTTCTAAGCCATGAGGAGTCATTTTAAAAGCAATAAAAAGTGAGAGACCCCCCAAATGGATGGACACTACCACGCAATTTTGACGTCAATCACGTCCGATGTATGTCAAGACCCCTGTACTATAATTGAAAGAATCGACGAAACCAATTGCATGTGAGATGCAGAATCAACCTACTTAGTAGCAGCTAAGGCGGAAAAAGAAAAAATTAGCAAACAAAATAATTTTGCCAATGTATCACAAAAAAGATCCAAATGGAATCGAAACTTTATCAGTTTTCTTCCCGGATGAATTTTTGGTTGCATCTGCACCATATTTGTAACTACGAATATAAATCAGTTTTGTTCCAATGGCAATGGAAAGTTTATTTAACTATTATGTCTAACAGAAAAGGATGAAAAACTTCGCAATGGTAGTACATTTTTCACTGATACCAAAGATGCAACATTAACAACCGACTGGCCTCTTACAACCTAGGAACAGTCTCTGAAACGTCAAGAATGAAGTTTCAGCTTTTTTTTTGTTTTTGCTCGTATTTTGTCTTCACTAGATCGATTTTCAAAACATACAAAAACAATTTGTCCTTGGCATAGCAGTAATTTTGCGGAACCCGAGCGGTAATTTCCAAATTATAGAGGGGCCAAGAATTAGCGGACAGACATACAGACAGACTGACAGACAGACCGACTGAACTGTGTGACATAGTTTTTCGAGACGTTATCCAACGTCCAAGAAACATACTATTCCAATTTCTAAATTTTTCGCAATTACAGTACTTTCTTGCCACCGGGGAAGTAAAAACGTGTGGTTCCTGGGAAGTTTGAGGAGACCGCTGGATAAAACCGAATGTAAAGGGTTATCCGCTAGTGATTTTACATCTGGTAATCTGTATACTATTGGTGGATACATTCTTGTCTGGCGAACAAATGGTGGTAAGATCGGATGAAATTACGTCACCGATTTTTCTGTAATTGCAACGAAGGTTCGGCAAGTAATCGTGCCCATAAGAAGCGAAAGTGACATTGTGAGAGATGCATTCGACCCAGTAACCCGCTATAGTTTTTTACCTATTTTGAAAGACGACATGCGACAATTTTTGAGTTCCCAGTTTTCACTTTTATAAGATGTTCAGGGATTTTTATGCTGAGCATTGGGAGCTTTTTTCTGACGAAAGACCAAGAGCCTGATTCTAACTAAGTTAATTTCGATGTCGCTTTGCAGTCATAGTGTATGATGTGCTGTGATAATTACGATACTACCACGATAGTTTTTATACAGGGTGTTTCAGTTTATTGTTGCATAACTTTAAGATTCGATAGAACTTTTAAAATTAATGCATAATGTCTATATAAACATGGGTCGAAAAATGCATGGCTTCCGAAATACAGGGTGTTTAAATTTACTTTCTAAAATAGTTTTTTTTAAATATTTCGAACAATATTTGATGTATAACAGTGAAAATTGGTATACAAGGGTTTTTTGGTACGACAAAACGGGCATAATTTTACTGTAGCCGCTAGAGGGCGCTTTCTACTGTACCTGTAGTGTATTAAAATGACCGAAAATTTTTACTTAGTGCAATTTTTTGCTTTTTGAAAAAAAACTGATTCTTCGCACTTTTCAACATAAAAAAGCTCTTTTCTGAATTTTCGTTATAGTTAGCCGTTTTTGAGATATTTCGATTTTTAAGGTTCGATGCATTTTTAATTATTTATGATAAAATAACGTTAAAAAGTCAGTATCTCGATAATTTTTAGAAGTAGGATGTGCCTGCAAATATTTTTGAAATTGAAAGCAGAATAAGGTTAAACGTCAATTAGTTGACAGTTAGTTTTGTTGTCTGTTGAAACCTGAAACTTTTTTTTGCAATTGTGAATGCACGAAATTTAGTTTCTTTTACCTGTTTTTTTTTGTAAGTTTATAAAAATGCCATTTTTATTCTCCAATCAAGAGTTAGCGGATATTCATTTTGCGTATGGCTTTGTAAATGGAAACGCAGCAGAAGCAGCCAGAGAATACGCACGAAGATTTCCAAACAGACGACATCCAACTCGCTCAGTATTTGTAAGAGTGCATCGCCAAATAATTGAAAATGGTTTTGGAAATCTCCAAAGGGATCAAAACATAAATGTTCGTCAGCGCAGATTTACCCGTATGATTCTGCGTGAGTTTGATAGAGATCCGACCACAAGTGTTAGGAGAGTTTCTGGTGCCTTGGGAATTTGAGCAAGTCATGTTCACCGTGTTGTTAGAAATGACCCTAGACGTCCTTACCATTTGCAACCTGTGCAAGGACTACAGCCAGGGGACGGAGAACGAAGAATCACATTTTGTCAGTGAATTCTTGATAGAACTGATAATAATAGGGAGTTTTTAAGTAACGTTTTATGGACCGATGAGTCATGCTTCACTAGACGTGGAGTGGTAAATTTTCATAATCAACATATTTGGTCGCATGAAAATCCGCATGCAGATCGGGAAAGAAATTTTCAGCATGAATTTAGTGTGAACGTGTGGATTGGTATCTACCGTAATCGACTATTTGGACCCTACCTTTTGCCTGCAAGGTTAAATGCTGCGACCTTCTTGGAATTTTTAAAGGCTGAACATGCAAATATGTGGGATGATGTTATGTTAGATTTAAGAAGATTGGCCTGGTTCCAGCTTGATGGTTGTCCAGCTCATTATTCGGGAATAGTTAGAAACTGGCTGGACGAAAATTATCCAGAAAGATGGATCGGCCGTGGAGGATCAGTCGCCTGGACTCCACGATCCCCTGACCTAAATCCATTAGATTTCTTTGTGTGGGGATTTCTAAAAGAAAAAGTGTACCAGACTCCCGTAACCACAAGAGATATGCTAATAGACAGAATCAGGAATGCATGAGATGAAATAAGGCCTTATTTGAATAATGCTATACCACGTTCGATCATTCGTAGATGTGAATTGTGTATTGAACAATTGGGTTTACATTTCGAGCAACTACTTTAGATTTTGTATGTTTGTCCTAACTATCCAATAGCATTTTAGTTGTGAATAATTAATTTAATTTGTTAAAAATAATATTGAAAAATTAAACAAATTAATATTCTGTTTTTTGTGTTTATTTGGAGTTAGGAATTATTGCTGTATTTAAAAACACAATCTAAACGATCATCTTAATTACTTGTAATGCCCAAATCGAAAATGTAAAAAAAAATATTATTTTCCCATAAATAATTAAAAATGCATCGAACCTTAAAAATCGAACTATCTCAAAAACGGCTAATTATAACGAAAACTCACAGGAGAGCTTGTTTATGCAGAAATGTGCGAAGAATCAGTTTTTTTTGTTCAAAAAGCAAAAAATTGCACTAAGAAAATTTTTTCGGTCATTTTAATACACTACAGGTACAGTAGAGAGCGCCCTCTAGCGGCTACAGTAAAACTATGCCCATGGTTCGTTTTGTCGGATCAAAAAACCCTTGTATACCAATTTTCACTATTATACATCAAATAGCGGCAAATGGTGACATTGGACTTTCTTTTCAAGGTCAAAATTTAGTTAGACTCAAGCTTCTGGAAGCTATTACTATCTAGGACTAATCAATTTGGCGCAATTTTATGTTTCCATACTGGGTTTGTTTCTCTTTGACGTAGTAAGTAGTAATCTTACTGATTGATTTGAAGAAGGTGGGAATTGGAGCTGTACATTACTTCTTTATCCAACCTCCGCAAGAGCGTTTCATTTTGCTTATTCTACCCCCTAAAATTTCTCTCTGGCTCCGCCCATGGGCTCCTTGATATAATTTTCTAAAGACCGCGTGCTGGCTTAATCCGGCATTGCTGCTTCCTTTAGATTCCCGTATCATCATAAAAAAAATACTCGCATATTCTGATCCAAAAGTTTCTAATGGCTATTATGAAAAATGCGTCAAGTAGGTTGACTCTGAACTTCCCACCCTCGCAACGCTGTCATCAGTTCATATTCGGCACAAGTTAGCCCCTCTGAGGTAAAATAATAATAATATAATAATAATAACAAAAAAGTTTCGTGGATCAAGTCAGCCAAACAGGCAATTCGTACAATTCGTCCATAGTCCCCACCCATTCGATAACGCTAGAAATATATTTCGCTGCCTTACCGGTGATATCGGTCATTTGGCACGAAACTGAACTACAACTCATGCACGCCAGCAGGTTTCAGTCACGTCAAGTGTTGATTTGAAAATCGTCAACCCTTAAAAGTAAAAATTACTAGGACTAATATGTCTGGTTATAGATTAGAATACAATTATCAGTAGGGGGAGGGGTGTCGCTGGCCTGAGCAACCTGCAAACGACAACTGAGAAGCGGGAGGGGGGTGGGTGAGGCATAATAAAACATAATAAAACACTCCAAGAATGAATAGATATTTGATTGAAGAGCAGGATGCGTAGGTCCAAGTTAGTCCCTCTGAAGCAAATGTTAGCTATGGACAAGTATAGCAGTGCATCAAATCAGTCCAACAGGCCCAGTCAATTAGCCCATAGTCACCAAACACTTGACAACATTACCATCTCGAAATTTCTCACCTGCCCTACCCATAATACCGACCATCTGGCAACGTCGCTATGACTAAGCTCGCTACTCACCAGACACCGTAGCCACCACCGGTTACGAAACACAGACACTTATCAGTGAGGCGGTGACGGAGGTATATCTAGAAAATATTTGCAAATGTACGGGGAAATTTGTGAAATATACCTAATAGGTGCGAAGAATCACCGGGATTGGAAGACTATAAAATTTGAGGAACACTCTCTTGCACACCGTATAACCCTCACCTTCCTATTTTGAAGCCTTACAAACACTTTTTTGAAAATGATCAGTAACCTCTGGAAAGAAAAAACACAAGTCAAAACGTTTTTTACCTTTTCCGTTTTTTGCCCATATCTACGCAGTCAATGGGCCGATTTTCAAGAACTTCTATAGTTTTTCGTCCTTGGTCCAAGCGGCATTATCTATGTTATAGAAGGCGCCGAGGATTAGCGAACAGACAGACACTCAGTCCGACGGAAATAAGTGACGTCACCTTTCGTGATGTAGATGTCAAAAAACGTATCCCAATTTCAACATTTTTCACAATTGCAATACCTTCTCGCCAATGAGAAGCAAAAATGTTTTTCTATGTTAATTAGTAAGTATTATGAAGCAAGCAAATATTGCTTCCTGTGCCCCCCATACATTTCTTGAAGGCAGCAATTGATCGAACGTTGTAACCATCTCGAGAAAGCAGGTCTATAAAAGGCATAAACGAATTGCTGTGCTCCTGGTCAAGGTCATCTGATGGCAAAGCGTTTTTATATGGCTTGCTTGCTTTGATGGTCAGATGCGGATCGTACTTGATTTATACGATATAAGTGGCAATACGTATGACTAATGATCTCCTGGTATTCTGGTGGCAGTTAGATTCATCATAAATATTGGGATACTAAAATTTTTTTTTTTAGAATAAGATTTCTTTTCATACTCAAGCTCTTACATGTATAAACACTGTATACTAGTGGCGCACACATTCTAGTTTCATCATGAAATCCAGGAAACAGCGTGACACATAACAACAACCAAAGCTCAAAGTCAGGACCTCCCGACAATGGTTTGGAAACGACTCCACGGTCAGTACCATTACCACGTGGACAGAGCTCGCAGTCAATATTCGTTCATAACCGAAAAGCCTCGAACTAGTTGGACAAATTGATTTTTCTCATAATCTACACGGTGGGCGGCCTATTCCTCAACGTAACTCTCACTCATACGTCGGTGTACCCTAAGCAACGTACCTTGGTAGCCCCTTCAAGACGGCTAACGATACTAAGTCAAAATAATGAACTGAACTAAGCTAAGGAGTAAAGACATGTGCGGAGGACTGAATCGTTGTAGGGTCTCTTCTACGTCCTCAAATGTTCTCTTGGCGACACGAGGTAGCACTCCTTGAATGCATGCCTTGCTTGGCTAATAGGCGCTGGTCGAGTCGACTGTCTTTCCTCAGTACTCGTGCTAAAAAACAAACATAAGGCTATTGGCCCAAAACAACAAGGCCAGGATGAGCAGCGAACTGCCCGTCCACGTAGGTCCGCGCGGTAATTCCCCTACTCGGTTCTAAAGCAAGCAGGGGAATTACCGCGCGCTGTTCACTAAACGTAGCAAAGACAATGTGAGGGTTGCCATTCGTGTAAAACAGTAAATAACTACCGATGACGTAATCATCATCTAGACTCCCCTACCCCGCATGTCATCCAAAATAAGCAAAGCAAAGCACGTAATACTTGAACGGCCTCTAAGTTCCACTTCAAAAATTCTCATTCTCATCGTAAAGTTAAAAAAGCTCGCACGGAAAACTTTTGGGAACCACCGTTCCCGATTTAAGCCACCCAATTCGAGCTGAGCAAAGAGGGGGACGCCCTCCCCTGAATCTCCTTAGCGTCGGGACGTAGAGCGTCCCGACGATCTGTAGCTAATAGGACAGCGTCGACCTCTGATCGTTCATAGGCAAAGGTAGGTACCGATTCGCGCTACCCCCTAATACGCTAAGGGTAAGAGAACGGTGGTTGTGACAGTGACTCGTGCGGTAACACGCGGGGGGTGGCTAAGTGTACGGGGGGAGGGGGATGACCGTATATGGCAGTGCGGCTTGCGCAGAGTGGTGGTAAGTTGTTACTGATCACCGTATAAGGTGGGACAAGTGAAATACACTTGTTAGAATTGTTTTTGCTGATAAGATTAGTTGTGAGTCATTCTTATCTGAAATTGTGTTGATTTGTGGTTCAGTGATTTCAACAATTGCTTTGTCCTATTCTTTTCCGAGACACAATATCTTAATTGGTTTTCGAGTGCGTTGTGCTAGAATTCACATAAAAATTAATGAGATTTGTATCTTTTTGTTCTTCTTATACACTATCCCCTAAATATGTGTGTTGGATTTTTTCAGCATTCATTGCCATCATCATTTTCAAAACGTTTGAATTCATTTACACTCAATGGGGTACCTCAGTTAACTAGATAACCCTTTATGTCTTCTAACACCATTTCGGGTAGTGGAAGCATTATAATCGCAAAAATCGATTTTGAAATAATTCTTGGAAGGTTCATTTGGAATCTATTTATACACCTGTCAGTCAGTTCTTCTCTTGTTTTGGAATTATCATTATTTTGATGCCGTCCTCATGATCTCAGTTACTGTCGTTCTCGATCAGTTTTTAAAATTTGATGGAAGAGCTTTTGGATTGCTTAATTTTATTTTGCTTTGGCTATAAAAAAATCTTGGCTGCAACCCTGCACGATGACGTACCGACATTAATCGAAAAACTAAGGTCAATTTTTATATGAGGTATATGCAGAGCGAGCTCAAATCTGGATTTTAAAGGAGATACATGTTGGGCAGCACTCGCCATATTGAAAAACGCAAGTGTACCATATCTTTGATACAATCAGTCATGAGAATCAAAGTTGTAGATATTTATATTCAATTTCTTTCATTGTTAGAGTTACTCGTATCTTTGGAGAAGATGGGACAGCACTTTCAAATATATACCCAAAGGAAGGCTAACTCTAATACCGATTGCTAAATTAGGATACGTTGGACTATGCTGATAGTATATTCGTATGTTTTGACGACCAAGCTCCCTGGTTGAGGTGACAACTTTAGTCCAGAAATGTGTTATACTCTTCACCGCTTAGTTAATCTTCATGAGATGACTTTGTCCTGGATCCTTGTTGGATACCTTGAAGTGCCGTATAATGAGAGGGTCTAATACCTGTTTATACTGAGCGCTGAAGCCTAGTTTGGATGCTTGCAGACCCCACATACGGAGAACTGAGGCATGTCACGAGTAAGAACTTCTTCGGTTGCTGCATATTGTATAGGAAGATAATCGCTTGGATTATCGGTGGATATTCTGGCATAGATATATGTCCTCTATCAGAGTAAAAGAAGACGTAGTCTACCCTAAATTTTGTAAAGATTTTTTTAGTTGTTGAATATCATTATTTCATAGAATGTATTGATTGTGTTGATCCATGGAGCTTTTCTTCACTCTCCAAAGGTTCGGCATCTGTATAACTGTATTTTGTAGTACGTTTTCCGTTTATTGGTCACATAGTTATGACACTAAATATGCCTTTGGTCGTAGTTTTGCGGGAGTGGTATAGGCCCTTGATTATCTCCTGAACCGCGGCCATAAATAGAATTTTCTACTGCAATGACAAAAATCAACGATATCATTTAACTGACGTCTAATGTCGAGTCATATGTTTTCAAAAATACTTGCATTTTTATTACGTTTTATATAGTAAAGTGCTATCTACCCCGTAGATTGGTTGATTTACCAACTCCGTTTCCGTCTTTGATCATAATCTCTTCATTCTAGTTCAATCCCTTTTGTTTCGCAGCGACAGACAGAACAAATTAATATGTCTTTCTTCAACTTATCCAATGACGTGTTTCTCTATTTTTATCCCGACTACACCATGGGACTACCCCGCCTTATTTTGAGCAAAGAACATATTAATAGGAATACATGTAGCAGGCATCTAGAGTTGAATCTTGAATCTGCGCGGTGCGTTCAAAAAGTATGTCAAACGGCGCGATGGCTAAATTCACTGAAACTTACGAATTTCCAGGTGCTATTTTTAACAAGACTAACGCGGTTTCAGCTGGGCGTCAACGTTAAGGATTCAGTATTGTGTTACAGAAAATTCCGTTCTATTATTATAATTTTCTCGATTCTCGAAAAATATGCTGGAATGGAACATAATAGGGAATACGATAGAGGACGAATTCCTGTACTAAATTTAAGTAGAATAGTTCATATAAACATGCTTTATAAAAAGTAGATTTTTTTTATTAATGATCTTGGTACCGATTTTGTTGTATTTTGGCATTGTTGTTCATTGCAATGAGATGCTAAGTTAGCACTAACTTGAAAATCATTATGAATTCCAGTGGCGTTTAGGGGGACAGTCTCTCGAATAATGTTGACAAAAAAGCGTACTCCACTGACTTTTTAAAAAATATTTTTTTTTGTTTCAGTTTATGTAATTTTTATGTCCTTTGGGGTCTCTCCCTATCTTACTTCCTTTCCGAGGATAAAATGAAAACTTTTCCATAACACGTCGAAAAGTTGTTAAAATAAAATCATTTTAATTTGACGGATGTACAATATTTATTTATAATAAAAAATAGAATATTTACAAAAAAATGTTTGAATTTTCCGTCATACAATGAAGTTGTATTTAGTTTCTTCCTTGAAACCGAAGTAAGATGCGGAAGTATATTAGAGGACAAAGAAGTTGTGTCATAAGCTGCTTAATCTGAGAAAACATATTTGTTTTAAATAGTCATTGATGTACATTTTTGTCAACATTATTCTTGACACTGTGCCACGACACGCCACTGGAGTTCACAATTATCTTTTAAATAGTGCTAGCTTAGCGTCTTGTCGCAATCAACAACACTGCCAAAATTCAACAAAATCTTTATGTAACTTTGATATCCTGTATCCTGGAAACCAGACTGTTTTTTTTTTTAATTTAATATCTCTACCAGTGACGTCCGTACGGGATGTGTACCGGAGATTGCCCAAAAATATGGTACGCCATTGCTTTTTTCGTGAAAAAAATATTTTTCAAATCTGATATGTATTTTACCTACGGACCTGCTGACGGAAATGCGCTTATGGCTAGGCGCATATATCCAAATCGTATCATTCCCGATGTCAGAATGTTTTCTAGAATACACAGAAGACTATATGAATCTGGGAGTCCTAGCATTGACGATAGTTCCAAAGGGGCACTTGGCACGGTGAGAACACCAGGATTAGAGGAAGCTGTTTTAAACAAAATCGAGGAACATCCAGAAACAAGTACATGCTAGGGAAATTGCTTAAATGGTTAATGTTTGCCATTTTCTTATTTAGAAAATACTTACCCTCAAAGGGCTCCAGCACTGCTGCCGCATGATTTTAGATTGCGTTTAAATTTCTGGCGATGGTTTTTAGAAAAACTTGCTGAAAGCCCTTTATTTGATATCAAAATACTCTTTACTGCTGAAGCTATATGACTTGTATACGACTTTTTCGAATTTAGTTTGGTTCAGGAATGCGATCTCGAAATTAACACCCTGTATAAATAAACTAGTTTATTTCTAAGGAGGTGCATCACCTGTACTTTCATACAAAAGTGTCAACAAGACTAACTCCGACTATCTAATTGATAACTGCTGCAAAGAAACGGTACTCGTTTCCGTTGAATAAATAATGCTGGTTTCGTAAATTTTAGTATCCTCAAAAATTCTTTGGGATTCTATCATATACTAAGTGACATATAAATCCGAACACCCAGTTTAAATGGTTTTATTTTAATGAAAGTTGGTGAATGTATATATCTATATATAGAGTACGGAGACCTGTACGATTTCGTCAACTTAGTGAGTTTGATAGGGGCCGTATAGTGGGACTACGGGAAGCTGGACTTTCTTTTCGGGCAATTGCAGTTAGAGTGCAAAGAAGTGTAGACACTGTGGTTAGGTGTTGTCAGGCATGGCTTCGAGAAGTCCGTACGCAAAGAGCAAGGGGCACTGGACGCCGCCGTAGAACAGACCGTGAAGATCGCCGCCTAAGATTATTGGCCTTAAGGGACCGTTTCTCCACCACCAGGTCCATTGCAAATGAATGGTTTGCAGAACACGGAATACCTATTGGCATGCGAAGTGTTTACCGACGAATGAGAAGTTTTGGCTTGTTTTCATACCGGCCACACTGGGTCCTCCCTTTAACTCGAGAACACCGACGTAATCGCCTTGAGTGGTGCAGACAATAGTCACTCTGGGATCAGGAATGGAACAGTATTGTCTTTAGTGACGAGTCTCGATTTTGTTTAGACATGCACGATGGTCGTGCCAGGGTTAGAAGGCGACGTGGTGAAAGGAGGAATCCACAGTTTTTTGTTGAAAGACATGTTTATCATACTGTTGGAGTTATGGTTTGGGGTGCTATAGCTTATGGTTCCAGGTCACCTTTAATCTTCATCAGAGGTAACATGAATGCGCAGCATTATATCCACGAACTTCTAGAACCCCATCTTTTACCCTATCTTGACACCCTGGCAGATCCATCTTTCCAACAAGATAATGCCCGACCACATGTTGCAAGAGTCACAATAGACTTCTTTCAACATAATGATGTCACATTGTTACCATGGCCACCAAGATCTCCCGACTTATCCCCAATTGAGCACGTGCGGGATATGATGGGTAGGAGATTGCTCAATTTGCAACGTCCTCCTCAGACTCTAGAAGCACTTCGAGAGGAGTTGGTGGTTGCCTGGAATGAGATACTACAGGAGGACATTGACCACCTAATCAGAAGCATGCCTAGGCGCGTTGGAGAATGCGTAGCACATCAGGGTGCATCCACACATTATTAAAGGTCAAAGGGCTTTAAAGCCATCATTTTGAAATTTTTATCATTTACTTATTATGCTTCATTAAGTACTTATACAAAATTTTATTAAAATAAAACCATTTAAACTGGGTGTTCGGATTTATATGTCACATAGTATATATTAATATATGATAATAATAGATTATATTATTACCACATAGAAAGATCAGTAGCGTTTAAAAATAAACGTTGGAAAAACATTCTAACAAACTTTTATTGGCTACAGTTAAAAATGATCGGGAACAAAAAACAACAAAAGCTTCTGTGCCAAAAGTTATTGGTTAAAAAAAATTAGCTGCAGTCTACTGCGATCACGCATCATTTTGTTACAAATAGTTTCGTTTTTCGGAATTGGTAATTTTGAAAGATGTCTCGAATAACACAATTTATAAATGAAGCTAATTGACTGTTTATAACAAATAAATATAGGCAATAGTTTATACACACTTCTGTGTTGTTAAACACATAACTATTATGATTAAGCCGGTGCGGTCAAGCCTACCTACTTAGGAACAACGTGTCTTTCATAATAATTATGCAATTTTCTATCTTCATTATTCAGCTAACCTTGGACAGTTCAAATTTGGAGTTAACATATTATCAGAAATTTTATTACTCTATGAAGCTTTCAGACTATTCAAATGCTTTGTTCAAAAGTACCACAAGAAAGGATTACACGTGCCATAATAAAAATTAAGTACAATCAAATCTTGCACAGTTTAGGCCCGTATCGTCAGTCGTCCCTACAATTGTAGGGCGCGTTTATGGCCTCCTTGATTGTCATACTCGTTTCTCTCCTTCAAAAATTTCTAGATTACACTTGTCCCGTGTCAGCGTCAGCGCTCTCCTATTGTGAAGATATGTTTTCTTTTTAAGTTGTAGGAAATTTCAGGCTGATAAAACATGATATAACTCAAAAGCAAGCACAATTTGATGCAAATAGATGTGACATAACCTCAACATAGAGTTCTGACACGGAGAAGTAGAAAACTATGACAATCAAGGAGGCCATAAAGGTGCTCTACAATTGTAGGGACGACTGACTATACGGGTCTTAGTCGAGCCGTACGAAAATTAATTATTGTCAACATATTTTGGGGCATTGTGAGAATTTCGAAAATTAATTTTTATTCACTTATTTAATTACCAATATGTTTATTGAATGCGTAAAAACCCACACAAAAAACGAGTGTATTTTTGAGAATGATTAGGATTGCTCATCTATTTACTTCGTGGTCGTGTTGATTTTGAAACTTAAATTTAGCCTCGTACAAAGTTGTTTATGGATCCAAAATTATTTTTACAGCTTTTCTTCGGCATCGCGTGTGATGTTATGTGTTTTTGAATGTAGTTGAGCTCAGAAATTAGATTTCTGAACTTGGACGATGATATCATGTTTCTTATGTAATACTCCTACAGTTATAGATGATCAATTTTTCTCTCGCTCACTGTGCTATTTTTAAAACTCATCCGGCTTTTAATAATACATAAATAGAAAAAACAGAGAGAGACTGACCTGTATAGCTTTTGCAACTAGGTTGCATCTGCCAACGTAATATGGGGAACTATACTAAGTGACATATAAATCCGAACACTAAATGGTTTTATTTTAATAAAATTTTGTATAATTACTTAATGAAGCATAATAAGTAAATGATAAAAATTTCAAAATGATTGCACTGCTTTAAATCCCTTTGACCTTTAATAATGTGTGGATGCAGCCTGATGTGCTACGCATTCTCCAACGCGCCTAGGCATGCTTCTGATCAGGTGGTCAATGTCCTCCTATGGTATCTCATTCCAGGCAACCACCAACTCCTCTCGAAGTGCTTCTAGAGTCTGAGGAGGACGTTGCAAATTGAGCAATCTCCTACCCATCATATCCCACACGTGCTCAATTGGGGATAAGTCGGGAGATCTTGGTGGCCATGGTAACAATGTGACATCATTATGTTGAAAGAAGTCTATTGTGACTCTTGCAACATGTGGTCGGGCATTATCTTGTTGGAAAGTTGGATCTGCCAGGGTGTCAAGATAAGGTAAAATATGGGGTTCTAGAACTTCGTGGATATAACGCTGCGCGTTCATGTTACCTCTGATGAAGATTAAAGGTGACCTGGAACCATAAGCTATAGCACCACAAACCAAAACTCCAACAGTGTGATGAACATGTCTTTCAACAAAAAACTGTGGATTCCTCCTTTCACCACGTCGCCTTCTAACCCTGGCACGACCATCGTGCATGCCTAAACAAAATCGAGACTCGTCACTAAAGACAATACTGTTCCATTCCTGATCCCAGAGTGACCGTTGTCTGCACCACTCAAGGCGATTACGTCGGTGTTCTCGAGTTAAAGGGAGGACCCAGTGTGGCCGGTATGAAAACAAGCCAAAACTTCTGATTCGTCGGTAAACACTTCGCATGCCAATAGGTCTTCCGTGTTCTGCAAACCATTCATTTGCAATGGACCTGGTAGTGGAGAAACGGTCCCTTAAGGCCAATAATCTGAGGCGGCGATCTTCACGGTCTGTTGTTCTACGGCGGCGTCCAGTGCCCCTTGCTCTTTGCGTACGGATTTCTCGAAGCCATGCCTGACAACACCTAACCACAGTGTCTACACTTCTTTGCACTCTAACTGCAATTGCCCGAAAAGAAAGTCCAGCTTCCCGAAGTCCCACTATACGGCCCCTATCAAACTCACTAAGTTGACGAAATCGTACAGGTCTCCGTACTCTAGGCATCGTAACCGATCGTAAAGGATGTCAAGAACCAAAATCCGCCAACGTTGATTCTTTACTGCGGCTGAAATATTCATTTTTAGAGCGTTAGTGAATTAAAAAAAAGCAGTATAAAAACCGGAATGTCCAACTGATAAGGCTGAAAATTTTTTCACTTGTTATTTACAGTAAGATAAATACATTCACCAACTTTTATTAAAATAAAACCATTTAAACTGGGTGTTCGGATTTATATGTCACTTAGTATATTTTGAGAAAAAAAAACGTCAAGATTTTTATATTTTCAAGAACTAGAAAAATGAGAATGTACTAATACTTATAATTAACGTGCACCAGTGGCGGGGACCAGTGGCATTATTTTTTCAAATAAAAATAGTACGCCACTGTTTTTTTCGAAACGCACAATTTTTTGAATTTCACCTTCAATTTGCTACAAATAATTACTTTTGTGTTTTTTCCTACAGTACACTGTTTTCGTAAAATAAAAATAAAACAAATTAGAGAATCAAAGCTTTATTTATTAAATTTGTTGTGGCTTGAATATCTTGAAACGCATTATCTATTCTTTCTTGTAACTGCTCAACAGTATCAATTTGTTCAAAATACACTAGTTGTTTGAAAGCACCCCACAAAAAGAAATTCAGGCGGTTCAAATCAGGAGACCTCGCAGGAATATGTACGGGTCTGTTTCTGCCAATCCATCGATTTTTGGTATCATTTTGAGAATCATACTTTGAAAAGCTTAGTGTTTAATAGATGGCGCTGTAGTCACTTATATGCTTGTATATACTCATATATATTTATTTATTTTAACAGTGAGTAGATCTGATCAAAAGAAATGTTTTTTCCTTTAACATTCTTCTGGTAAAATTAAAGTAACAAAGTTATAGCCCTTTAGAAGTTTGAGTACCGCCCTGTCTCAATAATAATATTATGTGCTCGTGTTTGGCAACAACGGATATAATCCGCCTTATCGGTTTATCGCATCGGAAACAAAAAAGCGAAAGAATTTGAAACGCTGATCACGATGTTTTCATTCAGTCAATGTGTCAGTCGGTAACGCGTGAGTGAATAGTGGTGTTTGCTGCGTGGCTCAAACGAAAGAAAAAATGGCACATGTTTATGCGGATCGGTTTCCCAATCACGTGCAACCAACCCCTCGTGCCTTTGTTAATGTAGTACAACGGGCTCGTGAGTCAGGTGACTTAAGACCTCACAGGGGAGGGCATGCCGGTGCTCCAAGACCTCACGAGCAAATACAGGTCCGCACTGAAATACTTGTCGGGAGGATACTTTATAAAACAAGGTAAAATTTTTTTTTGTTTTTTTTTTATTTTTACACACATATTTTAGTTTATCTCCTTTCTACAATCATTATCTGAAAATTAATGACTCAACTTCAAAACCCTGTATAGTAAATAGAGAAACAGCTCTTAAAATTCTCATAGATGACGCTACCGTATCTCATTTAATCTCTGATATTTTTTTGGACTTATGATTATAGCCTCAGGTTGGCCATTTTCAGGTAGAATACGTTAATCAATCCTATATTATATTTTTCGAAAATGTCATTAATTTCAGTGAAGTCTGAAAATAAATGAACGCCGCAATTGCACCTATTTCCAATATTATTATAATATGAAGTAGTCGTTTTTTCGCAACTACAAAATTTCATCTGTCAGAGCGGTTCGTAGGTCTATAAAAAATGTGTGCATGGTTAAATCCTTGAGGTCAGTAGGTCTATCAGATCTGCTTGTCATTAAGACAGAATGGAGGAAGATGAATATTAGAGCACACCATATGTGTATACTGCATTGTTTGTCGCCAAAATTACGTAGTTTGTACTCATGACAATTAATTCCTGACAAAATGACAGTGCTGTATCAACATGATAGTAATACATACCGATGGAAACGTCTACCTTCATTAGGCAAGTGCCGCTCTTGGCAAATGATGTAAAAAATACCATATCTTGAAATCTGCTAACACCACAATTATCTGCAAACACTCGCACTTTTAGAAAACATACTACAATATGACAGATAGTGACAGAACTGTCAAAAATATGACTTATGTCAAGTGCACTTGAGGTATGCACTTTGATCTGCACTACAGACCACTAAGAATTAAGAGACAAACAAGCGGTGGCCGCAGTAGTAAACTTTTTGGTCTCCTGATCAGTCGCCGTGCGCTGTGCGGGTGCGAATCCCGTCCCAAGAGAAATTTTTCTCTTGGCTATGGATGTTGTGATTGTCCGTAGGTGGTAGACGGTCTCTGACTGTCGAACGCGGAGGTACCACCCGGCGGATCTCGTAGGCGGGGCCAGAATGTGTGCATGTTGCATGCACCCGTGTTCCTCGCTTGAGTCCGTGTGGCGTTCCCCCTTTCCCGGTATCCCCTTATAGCCCCAAGGTACCCCATGGGTGTTTAGGCCTTATGCCTTCGTGGTAGTTGGAGTATAAAAAAAATAGATGGTGTCATTTAACTTATAGCTCGTTTTTGTTTCTTCCTTAGGCCTTTCGTCTTCTTCGTACTAAGCCAGTCTACCAAAGCCCTCCATCATGGACGCGATCAAGAAGAAGATGCAAGCGATGAAGCTTGAAAAGGACAACGCGGCCGACAAGGCCGACGCGATGGAGGGTCAACTGAAGGACGCGACCGCCAGATGCGAAAAGATCCAGGAGGAGGTTCAGGACCTCACCAAAAAACTCAGCCAGGTCGAGAACGACCTCGTCTTCAACAAACAGCAGCTCGAGAACGCCAACAAGGAGCTGGACAACAAAGAAAAGCTCCTCACGCAGGTAAATACAGGATGGCTCCATAAACAATATTTTTAGACATGGGGGACACGACAAGAGGAAACTAGGTTTAGTGAACCTGCCTCAAAATCTTTTTGAGGAGAGAGAGTTATCAAATTTTCCCATAAATTCTTAAAATTGTACACAAAATCCTGCTAAACATGCAAATTTTAAGGTCCATCCGGATCCCCGCTCCTGGATTCTCCCTGCGGCCGCTCATGTTTCTAGCGCAAAAACACGAAAAAATGCTGTAAAATGTGGGATTTCAAATACTCAAATGTGTAGGTACTTTGCTTTGCCATCTTTTCGGAGAATTGTTGTGTCTTGCATTATTTCCTCACAAGACGAACAACATTGAAGTGTCGAAGTACAATTTCTCACATTTCGGACCCATGCACAATGCAGATGCAGCATTAGTAGTCGAAGATTGCGCAACAGTAAACCGGTATGCTACGTCAACAGTTCTAGGTGGGTTTTACGTTCTCGAAGGACGTGTCTCTTACATCCAAAACAACAGATAACCTCATGCTCGCTTGTCGCTTTGGCAGGGGGCTAGACGTCTTTTGTAAAATTGCAACGATGGCTTCGCTATGTGAACGGACTTTGCTCCTCAGAGCTCTTCTCCATGATGCCGCTGCACGCTAGTCTCACCCTCCAGACTTAGGCCTCCTATCCTAACCGCGTCGAAGTTCGTACATCCAGAACTGACACGACTAGAATGAGAGCCGAGGGCGGTTGCATCCCAAACATGTGAGCAGCACTCGAGGCTAGCTCCTACCTGGGCCTTGTTCAGAGTGAGGAGGTTACGTGGAGAGAAGTACTTCTTAGCCCTAAACATATAGCATCTTTCCCAGCATCTTCCGCAATTGACGAGCTTCTCTGGGAGGTCTGGGAGGATCGAACGCTTTCGTGATATCAATACCAACGACGTGACGTTCAAGGTACTCCAGAAGCTTCCGATTTATGTACCTCACCATCACTTTACAGAAAGTAGAGCTGTAATCCCGTAGTTGTAAGAGTCGCTCTTAGATCCTTTTTGGGGGATGGGCTGGGCATGAGGACATTTCCAGTTTTCTGGGAAGGTGCTCATGTCCAGTATAATGGCAGGAATCAAGTGCGGATCAGAGGCTTTGTTAATGAAGGTGACAAGAGCATCCGTCTTACGGTCGTATGCCTGAAAGTTACTTCCCGCAAAGTGTAGGGAAGCCTTTGAATCGATGGCACTCGGACCTGGGGGAAACGACCATGATGGAGTTGGCGGCAAAGATCTTTGCAAGCACTTCCACTTAAGCCTTTGAGTCGGTTACAATCGTTCCATCCTGCAACGTAAGCAATGGAAGGCTACTCTTTATATGGTAGAGAGGAGAAGTAAAAACAAATGAACTGTCACCTGGAATAATAATAAATATGAAATATATTTTGTCATGAGAGAGTCTCGGCAATCACATACATCCAAATACCATATACGTTAACATCAACGTCAGCATCTTTTGACAGTTGTCACACGTGAATCGTTGACTTAAACGTCAAACTAACGTTGAAGCTCACGTTTACGTATGCGGTATTTATGATTGCCAAAACTCTCTAATGTTATTTGTTTGTACTTTGAAAAAAGACACCATGATCGCTAAAATGTCGGGGAAAGTAATTTATACATATGTGGTTTTATTTAAGACAGGTGGGTAGAAACTTCTTCGCCATAGAGAAAGAGAAAACTGCTTTATGCCACAGAGCTCTCTAAATTATCGATTGCATTAGATTTCTAAGTTCTGCACCTATGAGAAACAACTATGCCTAATACCATTTTCAGGCTGAATCAGAAGTAGCTGCACTGAATCGTAAAGTCCAACTGATTGAAGAAGATTTGGAACGCTCTGAGGAACGTTTGGCCACAGCTACCACAAAACTTGCAGAAGCTTCCCAAGCAGCCGATGAAAGCTCACGGTAGGTATTTTTTGGGCAGACATATCAAAATTTGCCAGCAGAGAAGCTTTTCCCGCCTCTCGGTGTGAAATAACTCTTAGATGTTCATTTCACGCTTTCTGGCAGGTCACACTAAAACTATCAGCATAACTTTTATCTGTCCATCTCCCTCACACAAACATATGCAATCTGCCTCTGTGCGCGAACGTTTGTGCAAGCTTCTTTAGCTTCGTCTCGCCAACGTATAAGTATTTCTAATCTATGCTCGTCAATGTCAGTACTATTCGTCATTATTCGTCAGAGCGGTCCGGTGGACCTTTGCTCTTAGTTAAAAGTCTCGTCGGTCTGTTAGTCTGTCAGGTCTGGCTACCCAGATACCAAACATGTTTAAGGAGAAAAGGGAAAGACGGAAAGAAAGGAAGGAAGAAATAGAGCAAAGAAAAGAAGTAAATCATTTGAAATAGCTTAAGCATTATTGCTTTGACTACTCGAATTATTTTGTAACTCCAAAAAATAATTTTGATCGGTTTTGTATACTGAAATAATTTTGGCTGGTCTGAATTCACAATTTAATTTTCCACAGTTCGCACACTTTCGCTCCTCTTGTCCTGTGAGGGGGCATAAATGTGTCATGTGGTCGGAAGCACATTTTAAACAGTTGGGAGGTGCTGAGCAGTAAGATTGCGCATGACCATATCTTTGGCAGCGGTGACACTGCCCAATAAGTCTAGAGTTCTTTTGAACTTCAACTCTGATTGCTAGATCCAGCAGCTCATGTTCATTGAACAGCTCATGTTCATTGAACAGCTGCTGGGACTTTTCAATCTTGGGCAGTATCACGACCACCAAAGGCATGGGTGCGCCGTAACTGCGTTTGAGTCGGATAATGTGAAGAGGAGTATATCCCCTCTGTTCTAATTCCCCTTTGATCTCCTGTTCCGAAAACATTGCGGGTATGCCTCAGACTACCGCGTGAATATTTCGTTCTGAAGGAAGAGGGAACGTATGATGGGGCACGTCCTCCTCCCTGAATAGGCTAACGATTCTTCGGTAGTCATCCTCACTTTTCGGCATAATCCTGATTCCCGCATCAACGGCAAATGCGCGTTCTATCTTAATGCCTAAGCTTATAAAGGTGTAGTTTAGATGTCGCCACTTGGTCGCATCACGCAAAACGATGGGCGTGATTCGCCCCTGGCGGGGTGCTGTGCTGGTCAACCCACCAGCAACGTGAGACTGTTGAGATAATGCACCGTCAGTCGATGCAGTGGCCAAAGATTGAGAATATGTGGTCGCTGCTTCGACCGTCGTAGGACAAGTGGCAGAAGAAGTTGACACGTGTAATGAAGCAGAAGGTTTTGAGGGGACTGTCAACTTGAATTTTGATTTCGCTTTTGGAAGAGGTGGGAAGTCATCCGTCTTGTCGGTTTTGTTCGTTTTGTCGATGCGTCTTTTCCTAGACTTGGCCTGGATGAATCCATCATTCTGTATTTCATCGTAGGTCGATGTCACGTCAGTTAAATTTTCAAGAGGTCTTTTTAAATTGACAGCCTCGTCAGATTTAGAATTAAAATTTGCATTATTCGTTAACTGTGTTACCTGGGTGGTCAGGCAGTCTATTTTACTGTTTTGATCCCTAACTGTCTCAGTCAGCTCCTTTATTTGCTGGGCCTGGCTTTCGATGATCAGGGTTTGGCGCTGGATGGTTCCGTCCTTTTCGTCTGCTACAGCTGGTGTCAATTCCTTTGATTCCTTGGTAATTTCTGTTCTCTCCTTCTGGGTGGGTCCATTCATCATCGGGGACGCTGGGGGATCATTACTTTGACCTCCAGAGTCTATCTCCATGTTTATAAATCGGGTTTTCTATCGAAAAACTCGAAAACTTTCACGAGCAAAAATATGACGTATTGTCAATTATCCCTTATCGTCAATGTCAGTGTGACAACCCACTTGACATGGGCGTACCATTTTGAATTTACCTATTATCGATCTAGGGCCGTATCGCCAGTGGTTCCTGGCTTCCTTGATTTTCATAGTTCTCTACTCTTCCGTCTCGGCGCTCTATTTTGAGGTTATGTTACAGATATCTATTTGCGTTGTTTATGCGTTTGACGTTTATCATCTGTTATATCAGCCTGAATTAAAAAAACAATAGGAGAGCGCTCGCGCTTGCACGGAACAGTATAAATCTAGAAATACCTCAGCGTTTCTGAAAGAGAGAACATACTATGAAAATCAAGGAGGTCATGAAGGCGTTTTACAATTATTATAGGAACGACTGACTATATGGTCCTAAGTAATATGAAACAGCAGTACTTGAAAATATCGATAGTTTTTGCCAAAATTATTGCAGTATTTTGAGAAAGCGACTGAAAGCTATGCTTCTTTACTAATCAGGCAGCTACTTTGGAGATCGGTTTGCCTAGTGTGCAGTTTTCATATGGAGCTTCAGGTCCGCACAGGGTTCACTTAGTCGATTTGGTTACTTTTTTCGTATGACATTGATGACTTAACCGCCAAAAATCGTGAATAGATCTGTAGATACTCGCTTGCGTACAATTTCCCGCGTTTACATGAAAATTTGCTGAAATGTGTGTAAAGCCTTAAAAGCATCATTTCAACGTCAAAAATGTGACAAAATTATAACGTCACTATCATATCACACCACATCTGCATTATCTAAAAATTCTCCTGTGCTATCATGGAAGATGAACAAGAACAAGAGAGGTTTGAAATCTTAGACAAAAAGTGACTTTTTTAATTTCTCACTTCTAGATAGTTTTTATAGATCTTTCAAATGACCCCAAGAATACCTCTCTCGACAATACTATGATACAGCCTCTGACTTAGCAATTCCTTTTTTCCAGTATGTGCAAAGTATTGGAGAACAGGTCCCAGCAAGATGAGGAACGTATGGACCAACTGACCAACCAGCTGAAGGAAGCCCGTCTATTGGCTGAAGACGCCGACAACAAATCTGATGAAGTATCCCGCAAGCTGGCCTTCGTTGAAGACGAGCTGGAAGTAGCTGAAGATCGTGTCAAGGTAATAAACTACGAAGGACAGCATTATTTTGAGATATACAGGGTGTTTCAGTTTATTGTTGCATAACTTTAAGATTCGATAGAAATTTTAAAATTAATGCATAATGTCTATATAAACATGGGTCGAAAAATGCGTGGCTTCCGAAATACAGGGTGTTTAAATTTACTTACTAAAATAGTTTTTTTTTAAATATTTCGAACAATATTTGATGTATAACAGTGAAAATTGGTATACAAGGTTTTTTTGGTACGACAAAACGAACCATGGGCATAGTCTTACTGTAGCCGCTAGAGGGCGCTCTCTACTGTACCTGTAGTGTATTAAAATGACCGAAAATTTTGTTCTAGTGCAATTTTTTGCTTTTTGAATAAAAAAACTGATTCTTTGCACTTTTCAACATAAAAAAGCTCTCTTGTGAATTTTCGTTATAGTTAGCCGTTTTTGTATCTCGATAATTTTTAGAAGTAGGCTGTGCCTGCAAATATTTTTGAAATTGAAAGCAGAATAAGGTTAAACGTCGATTAGTTGACAGTTAGTTTTGTTGTCTGTTGAAACCTGAAACGTTTTTTTGCAACTGTGAATGCAGGAAATTTAGTTTCTTTTACCTGTTTTTTTTGTAAGTTTTATAAAAATGCCATTTTTATTCTCCAATCAAGAGTTAGCGGATATTCATTTTGTGTATGGCTTTGTAAATGGAAACGCAGCAGAAGCAGCCTGAGAATACGCACGAAGATTGGTTTCTACTGTAATCGACTATTTGGACCCTACCTTTTGCCTGCAAGGTTAAATGCTGCGACCTTCTTGGAATTTTTAAAGGCTGAACATGCAAATATATGGGATGATGTTATGTTAAATTTAAGAAGATTGGCCTGGTTCCAGCTTGATGGTTGTCCAGCTCATTATTCGAGAATAGTTAGTAACTGGCTGGACGAAAATTATCGAGAAAGATGGATCGGCCGTGGAGGACCAGTTGCCTGGCCTCCACGATCCCCTGACCTAAATCTATTAGATTTCTTTGTGTGGGGATTTCTAAAATAAAAAGTGTACCAGACTCCCGTAACCACAAGAGATATGATAATACACAGGATCAGGAATGCATGCGATGAAATAAGGCCTTATTTGAATAATGCTATACCACGTTCGATCATTCGTAGATGTGAATTGTGTATTGAACAATTGGGTTTACATTTCGAGCAACTACTTTAGATTTTGTATGTTTGTCCTAACTATCCAACAGCATTTTAGTTGTAAATAATTAATTTAATTTGTTAAAAATAATATTTGAAAATTAAGCAAATTAATATTCTGTTTTTTTGTGTTTATTTGGAGTTAGGAATTATTGCTGTGTTTAAAAACACAATCTAAATGATCATCTTAATTACTTGTAATGCCCAAATCGAAAATGTAAAAAAAATATTATTTTCCTATAAATAATTAAAAATGCATCGAACATTAAAAATCGAAATATCTCAAAAACAGCTAACTATAACGAAAACTCACAGGAGAGGTTTTTTATGCAGAAAAGTGCGAAGAATCAGTTTTTTATTCAAAAAGCAAAAAATTGCACTAAGAAAACATTTTCGGTCATTTTAATACACTACAGGTACAGTAGAGAGCGCCCTCTAGCTATTTATCACTGTTATACATCAAATATTGTTCGAAATATTTAAAAAAAACTATTTTAGAAAGTAAATTTAAACACCCTGTATTTCGGAAGCCACGCATTTTTCGACCCATGTTTATATAGACTTTATGCATTAATTTTAAAAGTTCTATCGAATGTTAAGGTTATGCAACAATAAACTGAAACACCCTGAATAGGGAGTAAGTTTTGTCCCAAATTAACTGTTCTTAAAGATGGCCTTCCGCTTCGCGATTCATCTTCAATCGACTCTTTCCTATCTGAAAATGTCTTAAACCAACGAAAAACCTGGGCTTTTGACGAAACACTATTTCCGTAGGCCTGCTGTGCCCAAGTATAATGCAAAACCTGATAGCACAGCGTTGCTCGAAGTTGATGTCACTCAGTTTTAGAACACAATAGGAAAAAATGTTCCACAAAAAAATGTTACGGAAAGCAAACTTGTACTGAAGGCGGATCACATGTTCCCCTATCTCCCCTCCAAGCGCGGCGCCTCCAGTGTTGCCAGATCGAACGCTACGTTGCCAGTCTCATTACTCAATTTACAGACCTCGTACGTTCATATGAAGTGTTTTTCTTAAAAATTAACCCAAAAATCGTCCCATAAAATATTGACTTCAATTAGGAAACGCCCTGTATGTCTCCGTGCTGCTACGTAAAGACTATAAAAATAAAATTTCTTCCATTTCTTAATAGGGTGGAGATGCCAAGATCATGGAACTGGAAGAGGAATTGAAAGTCGTAGGAAACTCACTGAAATCTTTGGAAGTATCCGAGGAGAAGGCCAACCAGCGTGTAGAAGAGTTCAAGAAGCAATTGAAGAGTCTCACTGTCAAGCTGAAGGAGGCTGAGGCACGTGCTGAATATGCTGAGAAGACCGTCAAGAAACTCCAGAAGGAAGTTGACAGGCTTGAAGGTAAAGATGATAATATCCTCACTTGTCAGAATCTGCTGCATAAACTGGCTATTTGAATATTAATAGCGCAAAGTGCTTTGGCGTGAATTACGTTTTTGCTCTAGAGTGACAAAGATATTAATTTTCATCAATTGGATGAAATGTTGCTTCCAACGGCTTATGCAGCCTCTTCAGAAATACTGCAGCATCTAACAGTACCAGTTCTAATTATAATGAAATTATTTGGTACATTATTGCTATTATAAGTTGCTTATTTTACGCTTGGTTAATTTTTGTTTTTTTGCTTTTTCGCTTATTTCAGATTTCGTGCTGAGGGAAAAGAACAAATATATGGGCATTGTGACAGAGATAGACAAAACCTTTGTCGAAATGTCCTCGCTTGGACAAAAGAAATAAATTGCCGATATATCATTTACTATTTACTAACTTCCTGTGTTGATATAATTTGTTTGTATTTCGATTTGCCACTGGATTTGTACAACGTTCGTTGCTTAATTCAGTGTTACCGTATTTAAAAAAATACACTTGGACCTTAACTTCCTATTATTTAACCGTTTCTTTTTATTAATTATTTCTAACTGGTTGATGTCATATAAAAATCGTTTCTTGCTTATTCTCGAGAAATACATTAGCATAGAGTCTTCAATGTATTCTACGAATTAATTCGAATTTACAGAAAAGATTCTATTATATCAACACACCCCTTATATATTGTATTATTCTGTATATACTTGTCACTTTCAATGCTTTGTAATTATATATTTTGTACTTAGAAGAATGCTTGTAGTTTAGGCTTAATGCAAACTAACTTATTTTGACAGCTTATGCTTATATTTGCCGCTTAAGGAAAGCTCAAGGTAAGCTTTATTAAGAATGCATTTGTTTGTGATTGTTATTGACTGTTGTCAATGGTTATTTGGAACTTGGATATTGCTTAGTTAACCAAACTGCGTGTTGTCTTTATAGAGTACCCCATTCGTAGTCCATTTACGCCCAGACAAAACACAACATGCCCAAACGCGAGCTTCTACAGATCCGTATTTTCCTCAATGGTCTTGGAATAATCTAACAAATAAATGATTATTTTTATGGAAAGAAGTGCACATACTTTTCACTATTCTTTAATCACTGGAAGTACTTGTCCGAACGGTTAATATTAACTAACACAGGTTCAATTTGAATATCGATCATATTGTCTAGATCCCACATCTTTGTTTCAATTGTCTCTTGAACGTGATGGGTGCAATATTTCTAGTGGTTTGCCGTCACTGTGTTGATAGCTTCATAAAACAAATTTTTCACGTCAGAAAATTTGAATGTTCTATTGTTTTAAGTCACATAGTTTTTTATCGTTGCCCAAATCATTTCAATGGGATTTAATTCGCAGCGATAGGGGGATAGCCCTAAAACGGTCTTATTTTGGTTTTTAGCTGTTTCGTCAATAACATAAAGATTATATTTATATTTGTGCTGCCGGACCAGATGGATAAGTTCTGCCTTGACCATATTTTCATTGAAACTAATGCCTGTAGGAGGCATTGTTGAATTTCTGCCTTTCTTTTGGACATTGTGGAAATTTTGTCTTGTTTTCTAGTGTGGTATGCAGCTTTATCAAGTACAATGACGGCCTTGTCGTCAAGCTTTGGGAGCGTTTCTTCAAACCATCGTTCAAAGGAACTCCCGTCCACTTCTTCATGGTAGTCGGTCGTTTTCTTTGACTCAAATGCCCATAGGGCAGTGGGCACAAATCCATCTTGACTGCCAATGTGACAGATAACAAATCGATTTCCTTTTCCTGGAAATAATTATTTCATATAGTATTCAAGAAAACTAATATTAATATAAGCAGTGTATCTAACAGGTGTTGGTTCCAAATCTATCAGATATAGCTAAGTTTAGTCTAGCTAAGTTTTCAGCGTGGGCTCATAGAGTCAGTCTACTTGACATCATTTTCACAACACAAATGACGAATCGGTTGAATACACGTACCTGACGGATTCTTTAGACCAGTGGTTAGTCCATCTAAGAAGGCCTGTCTTGCTGATTTAATTGTAGAGTCAGTCCATACTTTAGGTTTTGTATGCACTGCATCTATCCAGGTTTCATCCAAGTAATAAATCTTCCTGCCCTGATCGCGGTATTTCTTTATTGATTTTAAATAATTTCTTGGCTGTCCATCAGAATACTACTTCTGCCCCGTTATTTGAGTGAACTATAGAATGTGGTCCTTTTGAAAGTAGGTAGGTCACTGTCAACCTCCTGTAATACTTTGTTTATGCTGGGAAGTTCCTGCCTTTGCGTCCGATGGCATTCCGATCAAAGTTATCAACTGTATCCAACAGCTTCGTGTAATGCAGCCTCTTGTACGGAGACAATTTTTTTGTTTTTTTATATTCTTTAACAATGTTGAAAGTTGTCTTAGGACATAAGCTTGTTTTGTTCGCCACAAAAGTCTTTCAATATCATGAATTTTCATTTCACGTTTTTGGGGAGGATACCTCACTGAAGAGGAAGCATGACTGAAGGAAGCATTGGGAGAAATAATCTCAGTTTCATCTGCTGTACCCGTGGACGACATGCTAACGTATAAACACATACTATGTGTGCACCGAATATGAACCGCAACTGCCGGCGTTACCCCGAGCCTGAGTTCTATCCTGTCGAATCCTGCACTTGTTCGTAGTTTTATCGTCGAATGACCAATAGCTATTGCCATGCTTAGGCGGTTGCCGCTTTTACGCGCTGCACCTTTGTTGTGCCGGAGCGCAAATGGACTACGAATAGGGTTTAGGCCCGTATCGTCAGTCGTCTCTACAATTGTGGGGCGCCTTTATGGCCTCCTTGATTGTCATAGTTTTCTACTTCTCCGTGTCAGCGCTCTATTTTGAGGTTATGTCACAAACATCTATTTGGATCAAATTGTGCTTGCTTTTGAGTTATATCATGTTTTATCAGCCTGAAATTTTCTACAATTTAAAAAGAAAACATATCTTTACAATAGGAGAGCGCTCACGCTGACACGGGACAAGTGTAATCTAGAAATTTTTGAAGGAGAGAAAGAAGTATGACAATCAAGGAGGCCATAAACGCGCCCTACAATTGTAGGGACGACTGACGATACGGGCCTAAGGTACTTCATGTGTCGCTCAGAAAAGCATTGCCCTCAAAAGAATTATTCAGTGTATCAATGTTTACGAGTATATGTACTTCTCAAACTCGAGAATCCCAGGTTTAAATGTTACCAGCTTATTATGTAATCACTCTAATTAATATGCACCGTTCTTATGATCCCCGCAGACATTTTCCCTATAGGAGTAGTACCATTGATACCAAACGTTCTCCATAGTGTTTTAGGAGCTTATCAATCTGTCGTAACGCAGGTATTCCCCAGATATCGGTTCAAGACCCAACACCGTTTCTGTTACACATTAACGACTTGCTGGCATGCATTGGGTTTGATCAATGTCTCCTAGATGTTTTCCTGGTGTTGAATATACTCTGTAACTTTGACACTTACTAGGTGTTCAGACTACTGACATATATTTTTTTCTAGATGAACTTGGCATCAACAAAGACAGATACAAGTCCCTGGCCGATGAGATGGACTCCACCTTCGCTGAACTGGCTGGTTATTAATTCTTTCAAAATAATCTTGAATACCTTAAGCATCCATCATACTGTCCAGGAACGGTACCACTGCAATTTCCTGGTTTAAAATGTAATATATTGTATTTCAGCATCGTTATATCTACTATATTGTATGAGAACATATGTGACATTATTCTAGGTTATATTGTTTTTGGAAAAGCCATTAAAAGTAAATATAAATGCATTGTATTTATTGTTTACTATCTCGCTTCGGTTTTGTCTAATAAAATTATTTTTATTTGTTGAATGCTTAATTTCTCATACACATACATAATACGCCTACCTGCTATCACGATCTAAAATTTCAAGACAAAAATTAAGGACCTACTATTAGACATGCATCTACGTCTACTACTCCAAGAGCTGGTCATATTCAACTACCAAGATTTTGTTTGTACGAAAAACTACAGTAGATAGCGCTTAATGAAAATGCTGAGATTAATTTTAAAGAACCCATGAGGTAATCAGATTGCAAGTTCAGTTAGATCGAGATGAAAAAGGTCTTTAGTAAATGTGGTCCAGTATTAAACGTTAAACGCCTAGTGGGAGAGTTCACATTTCAAATTTGAACTACGCGGCAACCGTATACGCGAGGAAGTGGGGAGAGGTGTTGATCGACGCGTTCGGCGTGGGGGTTAAATAGTCACAACGAAACGTTGGACCGGAGCGCAACGTGCTTTTGCTACTGAGGCTTACTTCAAGAGAAAAGTGTATTAAGAGGTTCCGTGAAACAGGCTCTACTCTTAGTCTACCCATTCCTGGCCCCACACATAATGTATCAACCAAAGAAAATGTGTGTCGAGTAAGTGATACGGTCATTGCAAATCCTCGCCGTTCTGTAGCGATGCATTAGGCTGCTGTGGGAATCCCTAGGTAACACTGCATGGCATAATGAAGAAAAAAAATGGGTTTTCATCCTTATAAAATCCAATCAGTCCATGCTTCAAAGGAAACTAGTTACGTGCTACGGAAATCTTGTGCTGAACGGATGTTGAATCTCTCTCCCACGCAGCACAGACTCGAGGACATTGTTTTCAGTGGCGAGACCCATTTTCACTTAGACGGTTATGTGACGAACCCAAAAGAGAAACATCAACACTAGCTACATAGTCCAAAGGTGATTGGTGCGCCATATCCTCTAGCGGTATTATTGGGTCGTATTTCTTTGAAGATGAAAACGGTCATGCATTGCCATTCAATTCCGAGCGATATAAGGACATGATTGACACTTCTTTACTTCTATTGTAAAAGCAGAACGTCGATTTAGCACAAACACACGGTTTCAACAGGATGGGGCCACTGTCCATACTTTCAGAAAATCGATGACAACATTCGACGAGAAATAAACATCACTCCGGAACTTTGCAAGAGAGTGTTTCAGGGAAAGGATGGAAAACATTTGTACGGAATGATATTTAAGAAATAAAATCCCTCCGAATTTACAAATTGTATGTTGTTAGTAATACATATTTTCTTTTCATTAAGTTCGTATTTTTTTCTTAAATCAAAAAGTGAAATTTCTCACTGGACACCCTGTACTTCCTATATCGTTTATTTATTGTATTATTCCATTAATTCAAACACAGTATTATTGTAAATAAATAACTGTAGACTGTTATCACAGAGAGAAAAGGTTGTTGTTACATATATATTTTTTGTTATTTTATGTCTAGAGATAAAATAATATTTCCATTGATTCTTACACTGGATGTCACAAGAATCGCATCGTTTACGAATTCTCGATTATTTTTAATAAGCATTTGAATTAATTTGTGGATATGCCTTACAGAACATATATACTAAGTGACATATAAATCCGAACACCCAGTTTAAATGGTTTTATTTTAATAAAAGTTGGTGAATGCATTTATCTTACTGTAAATGAAAGTGAAAAAATTTTCAGCCTTATCAGTTGGACATTCCGGTTTTTATACTGCTTTTTTTTTAATTCACTAACGCTCTAAAAATGAATATTTCAGCCGCAGTAAAGAATCAACGTTGGCGGATTTTGGTTCTTGACATCCTTTACCATCGGTTACGATGCCTAGAGTACGGAGACCTGTACGATTTCGTCAACTTAGTGAGTTTGATAGGAGCCGTATAGTGGGACTTCGGGAAGCTGGACTTTCTTTTCGGGCAATTGCAGTTAGAATGCAAAGAAGTGTAGACACTGTGGTTAGGTGTTGTCAGGCATGGCTTCGAGAAGGCCGTACGCAAAGAGCAAGGGGCACTGGACGCCGCCGTAGAACAACAGACCGTGAAGATCGCCGCCTAAGATTATTGGCCTTAAGGGACCGTTTCTCCACTTCCAGGTCCATTGCAAATGAATGGTTTGCAGAACACGGAAGATCTATTGGCATGCGAAGTGTTTACCGACGAATGAGAAGTTTTGGCTTGTTTTCATACCGGCCACACTGGGTCCTCCCTTTAACTCGAGAACACCGACGTAATCGCCTTGAGTGGTGCAGACAACGGTCACTCTGGGATCAGGAATGGAACAGTATTGTCTTTAGTGACGAGTTTCGATTTTGTTTAGGCATGCACGATAGTCGTGCCAGGGTTAGAAGGCGACGTGGTGAAAGAAGGAATCCACAGTTTTTTGTTGACAGACATGTTCATCACACTGTTGGAGTTATGGTTCCAGGTCACCTTTAATATTCAGCAGAGGTAACATGAACGGGCAGCGTTATATCCAGAACCCCATCTTTTACCCTATCTTGACACCCTGGCAGATCCAACTTTCCAACAAGATAATGCCCGACCACATGTTGCAAGAGTCACAATAGACTTCTTTCAACATAATGATGTCACATTGTTACCATGGCCACCAAGATCTCCCGACTTATCCCCAATTGAGCACGTGTGGGATATGATGGGTAGGAGATTGATCAATTTGCAACGTCCTCCTCAGACTCTAGAAGCACTTTGAGAGGAGTTGGTGGTTGCCGGGAATGAGATACCACAGGAGGACATTGACCACCTGATCAGAAGCATGCCTAGGCGCGTTGGAGAATGCGTAGCACATCAGGGTGCATCCACACATTATTAACTTATTATGCTTCATTAAGTACTTATACAAAATTTTATTAAAATATAACCATTTAAACTGGGTGTTCGGATTTATATGTCACTTAGTATATAAAACAGCTTTGCAGTACAAGCAGTACAGCTTAATACTTATCAGGCGCAGTACTCTATAACCGAAGCGTAGAAACCTACATGCTGGATGCAGAAGGTTCGCCAAGTGTTATTATTGGATTAAAAATGGCGGTATTTGATTTACTGTGTGTCATAAGAACCAAGCGCGATATAAAATTTTAGCTCAAATGATGAAAGAACATGTAAATCGCCACTTTGTGGTGGTCACCATATTGGACTTAGAACGACGTCACGTCTTTTATTGTATTTCTCTCACCAAACCCTTCAAGTTGATATCCTTGTCATAGTGGTTACTAAAGAAATTATGAGTCGCCATTTTGTTTCATGCGCTATATTGGATTCAAAATGGCAGCGTTCAATTAATTTTGTATTGTCACGCGAACTAAACGTGCATATAAAATTTCAGATCTATGGGTTAAGGTTAACTGGTTTTTCCCACACCAACAGGTCAAGTTGAATAAAAGCTTTTAAAAAATGGCGTCAAGTAGGTTGACTCTGCACTTCCCATGCAACGCCGTTATCAGTTCATAAAGGATATGCAAACTAGATCCTCTGAGAAAAAAGTCAGTCTAACAGGTTCATATACTTAATAATAATAATATTCATAATAATAATAATAATAATAATAATAATAATAATAATAATAATAATAATAATAATAATAATAATAATAATAATAATAATCGTCTTTATTACCATTATCTACTTAAGGCGAGATTTAACTTAAAGCTATGCTTACATTTACCTTATGTAGATGTGATTCACTGGATTTTAAAATGATAAATAGATAAATGAAATAAACAAATTTATCTCTATACTACAAATTGACTTATCCTGCTTCCTATCCTAGCTAATGACTTACATGTGTCTATCGTACAAATATTGTTTAAGCGCTACCCTAAACATTTGTGCCGATAATGTTTTAAGATCTAAGGCAAGTTAGTTGAAATTAGTGATTGATTAATACGTAAAGCTTCTATGCAAAAATCAGCCTTTAGACATTATTTCCCTACCCTACCATCCATCTGGCAACGTCGCCTCACCACCCACCTAGGCCTGCGGCACGCCGCCGGGAGCTGTAGCTAGTGATCCGTCCGCTGAGAATATTTTTTAGTTTTAAGGGCTAATATAAGGAGAAATGTATTATGTGTGAAATATGTCTAATAGGTTGCATATAATTGCCAAAATTGGGAGCGTATAAATGTACTAACATCAGAAAATTGAGATACTTTTTTGCATATAATTTTTTTTTTTAAAATTATCAGGATCCTCTGAAACGTCAAAAAAAGTAAGTTTAAGCGATTTAAAATTGCATCGAAATCCGAGCCGTCAGCGGTGACATAGTTTTTCGTGATGTACATGTCATATAACATCTGAAAAAAGAACTATCTGTTTAGAAAATACGAGGGATGTCTTTTAAGTTTTGCATATGGAATAAAACTACATGATAGGTAGTTTTAAATGACTTTATTGTTTTTCGAAGAATTCTCCACGAATATTAATACACATCTGCATGCGCTCGAATCAATTTTCGAAGCACTTATTCCACTCGTTTGCTGGCAGATCCGAAACGGCATTTTTGAATGAGTCAACTGCTTCTTCTGGTGACTGGAACCTTTGACCACGCAGTCTATTTTTAATTTTCGGGAAAGTAAAAAATCGTTAGGACTTAGATCGGGACTATATGGAGGATGGTCCAATAATTCCACGTTTTCTTCCGTTAAATACTGCCTTGTTTTTTGGGCGGAAACAACCCCTACACAATGGCAAAACAGTATTTGGATATCCATATTATATCCACAGTAAGTGCCGTCACAACGTCCATCCCGGCAATGGTACATTTCAAGTACTATTATTTATTGAAACTATCCTATTTTCGAATGCACTTTGTACTCTAGAATATTCTAATTATTTTGCGAATCACCCTGTATATTTTCGCGAATGAGTTAATCAGTGCAGCATGATTATGTGGTACCCATAGGTGCGACCGTGGATCCATTACCATTGCCGGCAGTACCAGCAGTTCGCAGCACCCATCGCTGCTATGGCTATAGCGGAGAGATAAGCGAATGCGCGAAAGAATTATCAGCAGTTTGTACTCCGGCAGAAAACCTGTCACATACTCTATTTAGTGTTTCGATTTTTTTATCACTTTTGGCTATACACGTGTTTTTACGAACTCGATATTTGTGGTTGTGATGTGGAACTAAACTTTTGGATTTTATGTGTGAAAAATGTGAGTAGCGCAAGTGAAAAATTCCCGCAAAGTGCGTAAACGCTTATATAAAATCTTATCGGCCTTTCCCTAGAACCATACATATAAAATTTTATGCTTTATAACAACAGCGACTTTCACACTGCACCTATTTGAAAACGAGAGACTTTTTATGTTAAATATACTCGGCGCATACGTATGAAAAAAATACTTGTACGTCACCAATGACCAGGCTGCAGAACAATTTTTCTTCACTCAAATATACTAAGTGACATATAAATCCGAACACCCAGTTTAAATGGTTTTATTTTAATAAAATTTTGTATAAGTACTTAATGAAGCATAATAAGTAAATGATAAAAATTTCAAAATGATTGCACTGCTTTAAAGCCCTTTGACCTTTAATAATGTATCTTGTTGGAAAGTTGGATCTGCCAGGGTGTCAAGATAGGGTAAAAGATGGGGTTCTTCGTGGATATAACGCTGTGCGTTCATGTTACCTCTGATGAAGATTAAATGTGACCTGGATTCATAAGCTATAGCACCCCAAACCATAACTCCAACAGTGTGATGAACATGTCTTTCAACAAAAAACTGTGGATTCCTCCTTTCACCACGTCACCTTCTAACCCTGGCACGACCATCGTGCATGCCTAAACAAAATCGAGACTCGTCACTAAAGACAATACTGTTCCATTCCTGATTCCAGAGTGACCGTTGTCTGCACCACTCAAGGCGATTACGTCGGTGTTCTCGAGTTAAAGGGAGGACTCAGTGTGGCCGGTATGAAAACAAGCCAAAACTTCTCATTCGTCGGTAAACACTTCGCATGCCAACAGGTCTTCCGTGTTCTGCAAACCATTCATTTGCAATGGTCCTGGTAGTGGAGAAACGGTCCTTTAAGGCCAATAATCTTAGGCGGCGATCTTCACGGTCTGTTGTTCTACGGCGGCGTCCAGTGCCCCTTGCTCTTTATGTACGGCCTTCTCGAAGCCATGCCTGACAACACCTAACCACAGTGTCTACACTTCTTTGCACTCTAACTGCAATTGCCCGAAAAGAAAGTCCAGCTTCCCGAAGTCCCACTATACGGCCCCTATCAAACTCACTAAGTTGACGAAATCGTACAGGTCTCCGTGCTCTAGGCATCGTAACCGATCGTAAAGGATGTCAAGAACCAAAATCCGCCAACGTTGATTCTTTACTGCGGCTGAAATATTCATTTTTAGAGCGTTAGTGAATTAAAAAAAAGCAGTATAAAAACCGGAATGTCAAACTGATAAGGCTGAAAATTTTTTCACTTGTTATTTACAGTAAGATAAATACATTCACCAACTTTTATTAAAATAAAACCATTTAAACTGGGTGTTCGGATTTATATGTCACTTAGTATACATTGAGCAGGAAAATTAGAGTTCTCTTGTCCTCATATTATAGACCTCACATTTTCAGCTACCTGCGATTTGTCAAGAGATGCTCCCAAGTGTTTTAAAACGTCCGCTAAATTAGGATCCACTTATTGTATACGTATGCAAACTCTCACAGACAAAATATTTTTTTGGAATCAAATTGTAGCGATAAAAAATGGCGTCAAGTAGCGCAATTTAAATCCTTTGAGAAGAGAGTCAGTTTCAAACACGTACAACAGAGAAATTAAACAAATGAAGCCAGTCAAACTAGTCCATACAATTAGTCCGTTTACATTTTTCCCCGCCCGACCGCTAGTTACTGTCCATCTGGCAATTTTGCCCCTTTCGACAAATGCGCGGCAGCGCCCACCGCGGCACCGCTGCAGTGAGTTATCGTTCATTCCGTGCATATGTTTCGTGCGCTGCAGTACTGATAGTATACGGACCGGAACGCCGGGCGGTGAGCTTAGATAGCATGAGTACGCGAATTGAAAACATTTCTCTGTCATTCTAAGTCTTAAAGGCAAATATACTAACAACAATTTATTTTCATTTATCCACCCCCCAACTAGCAAAGTAGTGCTATAAGCTTTTGGTAAAAGAACCGTTCAGCCATAAAAGCTCTCTATTGTTGCCTGAACACCAAAATGCTGGCTTAATGTTGTGTGGAATGCAAATTTGCTTTCTGCAACATATTTGCTCTAAAAGGAGGTGTTTAAAATATTCTTATAGCATAGTTATATAACACCTTATAGGATAAATTTTTAACTGTTGCATAAACGTTTATACAACTATTTTATACGACATATTTGCATGTTAGTCAAAATGGCTTTGTTGTAGCATCCATGGTAACGTTTATAAAACAAATCCGAGCCTTGTTGTTTTGCTGTGCAAATTTAATACTTTACCCAAAAAATTGCTCCCAACGGCAGCACTTATACAACTGTTGTTTAGTAACTGTTAGAGGCTGTACATATGCAACAATATTACAACTTTTGTAGTACAAAATTGCTGTGCTCGGCGTACATTTGTTGCTAAATATGTTGGTATACAACTTCACCATAACCTAACTTTCTGCTGTCATATTTTTGTTAAAATGCCATAACCAATGTTTTAAGACAAACAACGCGTGCATATTGATTCAAAAGGCTTTATCAACTTCAAACAGAAGATATAGATCTGGTACAAATTCTGGGTAAATCATTCGACTCTGTCGGTATTTCATTTCAGACATTTGTCAAATTGTTGTAACACCTGCAGGCAACACCAAAATATTGTAATAAACTAAAGGCAACATGGACGATGCCATGATTATACACAACAACCCGCCATATTGGGAAAACATTTATTCCTCTATTTAATATTAAATAATTATATTTCAGTTCAAAATTACAGATAGAAAGTGATGAACATTAGTGTAATTGTATCTAAATATAGGATTTGTGGAAGATTTAACGCAGACAAGTTCAGTTTTCCATCTTAAAAATCTAGACATACTTTTGATCATTATTAAAATATGAATCAAATACCAAGCCCGTAAAAATTGCGTAACTACTTTGCACTCTAATCACAATAAAATTTGCGGCGCACGTAATTCACTAGCCCTATATCACAGTGTAGAAGTTTATCATATACCTGTATATGAAACTCACAATAGCCGATATGTAAGTAAACAAGATGACTGTAATGTGTCAGTTATATATTCTTCACTTCGTCTATACAATACATAAGAAATAGTTTGGTTGCAATAAAGTAGAATCACGTAACAGAATAGTTGTATAGTTGACAATAACTGAATCTTGCACTGACGCCAATGTCCTATAGCAGCTGCAACAGCCTTACACTTTTGTTGTATATCTGTTACCTGCAGCCCTTATACAACCTCTTAAATGACTGAAGTGTCCTATTAGGTGTGCCCATTCCGCTTGTATAGCTGTTCTAAGAGGGTTTTGCCAATGTTCTTACAGTATACAATGCTGCGTAAGGAATACTGTATAATCATTCTTGCAACACTAATAGGAGTGATAATTGTTAGTTGGGCCCCCCACCCCCGACAGCCCCAAAGCACCAAATTTCAACCGCTATAAAAATGTTTCTGAAAATGATCGGGACCATCTGAAACGAGGTTTGAGATATTTTTCTTTTTATCATGAGTTTGCCCTTAGCCCCGCCACCACTGGACCGACATTTAAAAACCACAAGGCTCTTGCGTCCTTGTGGAGATTTCATTAAAATCCGAGCGGTCCTAGAATTAGCGTACAAACCGACAGATACACGCACAGCGACGGAAATGACTGACATGGTTCTTCGAGGTGTAGAGACATGTCATATAACATCTAAAAACCATATCTCATTTTCGAAATTTTTCCCGATTACAATACTTCCCCGCCCAGTGGCGTAGCAAGTAAAAGTGGCTTAAGTAGGGTCAGCATCATATTTCTAACAAGCTATATTAAGTGTTTACCTCCTGTTAAAACCGCAATCCCAGTCAGTATCCGCTCGTTCATTCAGGTCACACAAAGAAGTATAAAAAATTTTCCCCGTTTTACCATCAACAATAAGGGTTTGACAATGATAATTTGAACTGAGAAGGAGATCGTGATTTAAGCTAAAAAAATATAAGGCTTCATTTTTTCAATGAATGATTGGTTGTTTATGACATAATGCTATAAGGAGCATGGCGTAGTTAAACCATACCATGTCACACATAGTGTAATAATTCAAAAATTTGATTCAGAATTGGACGCTACCTGCAACAAACGCCAAAGAGGTGTTTCGGCTGGTCGGAGTTTAGATCACCGAGAACTTGATCTGGCACGAACACATCTTGTCAATAGCGGCAGCTAGGCTATTTGTTTAGGACTAAAAAGTACTTTCCTCCACACGACCTGCTCACTCTGCACTTGGTTCAGTTAAGCCCTTAAGCTGCTGTTCAGAGAAGGGCTGTGCGACTGATCGATGACTCTTCTCTAACAGACAGTCTTGGGAGCTTTCGCACCGAGAGGCCGTCGGTGATCTAGCTTTCTTCTACCGCCATATCAACGGGCTTTGCTCCTCGGAGATCTCCTTCATGATGTAGTCGCGGGATATGCCTGCCAGACAGACCCGCCTGACTTCGGCCTCCCATCCTAACCGTGTCGAACTTCGTACATTCAGAACTGGCGGTTCCGACCGCTACTTAGTCGAGATTGTGGAACATTCTACCTGACGAGGCTTTTGCCAGTTCTAAAGGTTTCTGCCTACGTATAAAAAAAGGAAATTGAGAAAGGGATCGCAGATGGAGCTTTTTGCATCTATCCCAAAATTAAAGATCGAATTGCGACATACGATCTTAATCGGTAATGAATAGGTTGTTCGTGTCATAAGAGTAATATTTCCAAAAATTGATTCAGAATTAGACGCCATCTTCACGGAATGCCTGACTGTGAGCTTTTATGGCCTCAGTCCTACATCTTATCGGTGCTTTTTGGAGATATCCAGAAACAAAGTTGAAGGGGGACAGAATCACGAACGACAATGGTGTGGAAAAAATACAGCAATAATCATGAAATAGTGTTGTGGCTGCTTGAATTATGAGGCCTTACACGACTATTTTAGAAATGTCAGTATGTA